ACAGACTACTTTGCAAAGCAGCTGTCTTAGTGTGGTCAACAAGAATGCGATAATGCTAAACCCACCATCTTTTTCGGATATGCTAATCATTGGAAATAGTCATTCTACTTCCAGAGCTTTGCAGACATCTATGATTGTGTTACTTTTTTAGGAATTAACTTTCTACATATATGTTTATTTGTAAAACACGAATCGAAACATAAATTTCACAAGAAAGTCTGTTTTGTTTTGTTTTTTACTGCCATGATATTCACACAAAAATGTGTATCATATTACTCCAGCCATAGAGAGTAGCGCATTTTTGAAACATGATAAAATGTCTGACCACTATGTGACACTAGTGAGCCACTGACTGACGTGCATTGCAGAATCTGGTGCAACACTGAAGTCATACCAGGTTTGCTTTAAGTCACTCAGTTTACCTGATGAAGAAGAGATCCATGGTTCAAGGATCACAGACAAATTGAGATAGAGCACACAGTCTTTGTTGGTCTGTGGATCTTTATGGGTATAATGTGTTTGGTTAAAATCTGTTACTGGAGCTTTCTGTTGCAGCAGGAGTTAATGTTAATATTAACTCCCATTTAGGTCTGCACGATTGATTGATTTTAAATCGTAATGAGATTATTTGAATATGATGATGTTCAAAAAATTTAAATCATCAAATCGATTTTCCTTTCTATCATGTCTTGTGCCTCCAGGCTACCATAGCTCCCCCTTCCTGTGGAAGCGCTCCCTAGTTCCCAGTTCACACACACTGGTGCAAACAAACGTGGCATTTGCAAAAGAGGGTGATGATTTTGTGGCTAAATAGGGCCAGAGCAAGTCACTCGTGTGGAATTGGTATGGCTTCACAGTTTTTTGTCATATCAGCGTTTCATCCACACAGAAACAGTGTGGCCGTAAACTGTACTTTTTGAAAATGGGTCAGAGAGTGCATAAAATTGTAAACGACTACCATTTCTTTTCCGTGTGGATGCCTAACTGCATTTCTGGAAATAATTATGTGACACACAGCGTAACTCTTTTATGGCGCCTGCGTGTGTCCGGCCAGAACAACCTTAATGCGCACGATCTGTACTCTTCTTCTGTCTCACAGAAGGGGAGTACAGCGCCACATACTGGCTTGGCATATGCACTACATCATTTTCAGTGGTTTCGTTTTGAGAGATGATAGAAAAACTAATTACCAAAGTGAAGTTTGGTGAAGTTGACACTGAATAAAAAATCGAAATCGAAAAATCGAGTTTCAAAGAAAAAATAGGGATTTTATTTTTTACCATTACTGTGCAGCCCTACTCCCATCAATTTTGGACTGACCTACAGGCACTAAATCTCAACCACTCTGTCTGACAATTATACACTACATCAGCAGATATTATGAATAGCCACATACAAATGATTAATTCTGTCACTGATGTTCTTGTTTGTTTCTGTAAGTACAATACAATATGATAGGTAAGATACGAAACGATTTGACACAACACATTACCATACCATAAAATAGGATTAAAATCAGTACAATATAATCCAATATGATACAATATGATTCAATTCAAAATTAAATGATTCAATAGGATAAAATTTAAAAAGATATGTTACAATTCAATACAATACGTTACGATACAATTTCCTGTCCCCTTGAGGAATTTTGCTTGGGCTCAAGCTGCACATGCCCACTTTCATACACAAATGTACTCCTGAATAATAATGTAATAAAACATGCTGTGAAAAACAATAATAACACACCCGCACCATGCAAACAGAGAGCACATACCAAGGACACCGCAGCAAATAAGCAACACATATCACAAATTATCCAGTGTTATATGAGATGACAGCAAAGTCAGTGACAGATAAAAGCTAAAACGATACACACATCATGACACTACTGAACAAGCGAGACACAGTATTTAATTGTTCTTATGAAAATGGGTGCAAAAGAGTTTGTAAAGAGGTTCCGGTTACATTGGGTGCTTCTATATTAGACAAGTTTATCAAAATTTACATTATTAAATCACATGATTTTTATTCTGTAAATCTAGCCGCACTTTAACAAATAGAGAGAAAACATGTTGCATTACAAAATGTTCCTCTACAGCTCTGGTTCAAGCAGCCTCTCTCCATCTTTAGAGGTTATCTCTACACGCACGGAAGAGCTAATCAGCAATTAGTGACCGGCCATGTCGTGCAACCAACGTAACCCCACCACAGTGAGGTTTCCTGGCGGCTGAGCTCTGCTGACTGACACCCTCCGGCTCTTTCACTGTTACAGATCTCTCTCAAAGACTCTGATGATGCAAAAATGGCTGCCTACTCATCGTCTGCTCCCTTCGAACCTCCCCTGCCCTGGCTGTTTTCTCTAATCATGGGCGAAACAGAGCTGGGCTCTCAGAACAAAGGGCCATGTTTGTTTTTTTGCGGGCCTTTTATTTCAGGCGTGTTCCTCCGTGTGCGTGTGCGGGCCTTTGATGTGAAACACACCAACGTTCGCCTCCGCCGCCCGGATAAAGAGCGAGCAGAGAACAGGGAAGAAGGGAGGAATAAAGAGTAGAGAAGTGCTGTTTTTTTTTTCTTCTCAATCACTACAAAAGTCTTAACATTTGATCATTGTGGGCAGGAGCCTTTCTTTGAGCTTAATCAGCTGATATGACAACATACTTTACAACTTAAGCACATGTAGACAGCTTCATGTGGGTTGTTTGGAAGTGTAGCTCAAACTAGTTTGACCTGAAATGTCAAGTTTCTTTTTTGTGATGTTTGCTGGTTTTTGTTTATTTATTTTCTTCCTCTAACCAACAGTGGGAAAATCTTCCAGAGACACATTCTTTAGCTTTTTTGACACTTATTTCAACACATGGTGGTAAAAGCTTGTGTTTTTGTATGCGTGTGTTTAAATGTCGAAGCAGACTCTAAATCACAAAAAAAGTGTAAGATATCTTTCAGGACTGACAGTCAGGGTTATGATGGATGATTCTCAGACTTACCCACAACTCGATCGCACTGCGATCGCCCCTTTTCAGAGACAAACAGGCCGATGATGAAGAGGCTCAAGCTGATAAGGTGGTGCTATGATGAGTTCCCTCAAACACACTCACCCACACACACACTTCTCCATCGTCTGCTGGATATTACGCTTGAGCTGACATGGAGAATGCCTTTGCTTCGTGTGTGTGTGTGTGTGTGTGTGTGTGTGTGTGTGTGTGTGTGTGTGTGTGTGTGTGTGTGTGTGTGTGTGTGTGTGTGTGTGTGTGCACCCAAAGCAGGAAAGGTGTGAAAAGTCTGACTTCTAATTCACCTCGCTCTACATACGGGTTAATTCTTCCTCTCCATCCGGCTTATTCTAGATTTAAGAAGAGAAGGTCTGCAACAGCAACAGACGAGTAAATGTGTCGGCATGAGACAAAAGGAGGAGGAAGGACTCTGTTGAGTAATTGCTAAATCATTTTTCTTGAGGCCAAGGTTTTTTGTCTGCTTGTGGAGTCATCAAACTGTAAATAAAACCCAAATGAAAATTCTGTTAAGATTTGTGTTGAGTTGCATGTTACTGTATGTTTTCATGGTGGTTTGCAATGTCCCCTGAGCTTTTGGTGTTTATTTGTATGCACTTTAAGAGACAGTCAAGGGACAGATGATGTTAAACATTAGGACTATGAGTGAGATTTGTCTATTGTGCCACCTCCGGCATGTTTGCATTGATACATAAATATAAACGTGCATTATCCCACTCAAATGAACAATAAATAAAAGCTTCTGCTGTAATTTTCTTCTGGTGTGTGGCATCAAATTATGTGCAACATATTTGCCCCCTGCAAAAATGCTCCTCATACAAAAAAAGACACACCTTGGATTTTCTACCTTATGCCTGTCATACTCTCTGTGTTTCTGCAGCCTCTCTGAACACACAGGAGCTGTTTGGAATAACACATCTCTTAAAAAAACACAACAAACTCTTATCAGGCTGAAATCAGTCAGTCACACAGGCAATGAAACAGCTTTTTAGTCACTGCAGCAGTCCACAAGGGGGCAACGTATCAGGGCCAACTGTGTGACACAAATATGTGCCGTGCCCCCCCCCCAAGCCGTAATACTGACAGATTCTGCAGAAAAGGGCCGATCACATATCACAAAACTGCAGATTTTTAAAGCAGGAACAAGCACCATTCATTCACCATACAGCAGTTTTAGAGCTTTACAGAGATCAAAACATACAATAATAATAATAAAAGAGTTAAATATGAAGTTAGTTAAAAATAAAATATTTATCAGAATATAAGATCAAGAAAGTTATAAACAGAGACCACAGTATCAGAAAATATTTGAATATTCATGCAAAAAAAGAACCTCCAGAGAAGTTTCTGCACTGATATGATGGAGTTAGAAATAGAAATGATCTGACCACAGCAAAATAAAAAACCATACAAGGAGCACGTCCAGGCTCCAAAAGAGGATCACTTTGATATTTTCCAGTAAGTGGGTTGCTGTATTTTTAAATGTCAAACATTTAACTATTTTAATTCTTCAGAGCCGAAGATGGATATATACCACAAATCTGGTTATACTCCAGCCAAATACTGAGTCCATTTATTATAGGTGTTATTATAGGTGCATCTTTGGATATCTTATTTAATGTGTTTACAATAGTTGACAATTCTGGACACGCTGTAATGAATGATGGTAATCCTGCTCAGTACTGGTCCTGATATTAGTTCATCAAATAATGTCTGTGTAAGTTCAGGACCTGATCCAGGGTCTTGCAACAACTGAAAAAGATTGACTCTCATATATGCAAACATCCTCCAGAGTCCCAGCTCTGTGAAGACGTAACAGCAGACACAGATTTACCTGCTGGTCTTTCACCGATAATAGAAATGGTTTCTACTGAACAATCCACCCCAGGATCTATCTTTGGATTAAAGCTCAGTTTGCTCTGGCACACATGAAGCCTGCACAGAGGGACTATGGTGATACGATCCACACTCAGTCTTTACTTACAATGTGTTAGGTCTGAACTACTTTAAGTATGCACTCAGAAGAATTTATGGTGTGAAGTCCTCGACCACAGGGTCTTCCCGTCCCTCCAGACATGGATCGACAGAGCGGTCCAGAGAATCTTCCCTGGGATGAGATCAGGTTTGCTTTGTGCCAACTCACAGACTGTCAGATCCTCTTCAGGGCTCATGCTCACCCATCTAGAGTCCGTGGAGCTTTATGAGTTGTGTCTCCCAAAGTGATGCTGGTAAGACAGAAAAAAGCAAAAATAAAAACACAGTTAATACATATTTGACAAAGTCCACAAAGAAGAACTTTTGGATTCTGCATGCACTTCTTGTGTATTTACTGTTTAAAGTCTCCATCATCTTAGATCTGTATGTTATCACTTGATAAACTCTCTCCCCTCCTCTGAGTCTCCGCAGGTAGCCAGCCTCTGTAATACCAAACATGCCCTGCAAAGGCTCATAATTGCCAAGTGCTATTAGATGGCCAAACAGGATCATTTCTTCAAAAGAAACATTAGCCGCCTTTAGGAAGGAGTGTGAGGGATTGGGGCTTGCCGCTCCCCCTAATCTGGCAGGAGACCCCCGCAGTCACACTCCTCCACCTGGCTCCCATTACCCCTCCACAAATCCCTAATCCCTCCGTTTGTTTTCCCGGATAGAGACGCAGAAGAATGGAGGCGAGAGGAGGAAAGGGAGGCAGGAGTCGGGGTCATGGGTGATGGTGATAATCGTGATTTGACAGTTCTTTGTTTGTGCTGATTTACAGTTTCTTAATCTGAGTGTTAATTCAAGTTAATTCTGCTCCTGTTTCTGTTTGGAGAAAATGTGTATGTGTGTGTTGAGTGTGTGTATTTATACGTGTGTGTGTGTGAGTGTATGTGTATGTGTGTGTGCGGCTTTCCTCTGCGGCCCGCTCTCTTTAATAAAAGTCTTGTTTGTGTTTCTCCTGATTGGGAACACATTGGACCTGGGTCGGGCTCTGTTGAGGCCGGGGTGCTGAGGTCTGGGGCAGACCGGGGGTCCTGTTCTCTGGGGGTCTCTCCTCTGGTCCTTCCTCTTCTCCCCTCAGAAGTCCCGGCTGCTCGGGGGGCCACAAGGGGCGGCGGGGTCGCCCCTGAGAAGTGTCCCGCTGCGAGATGACCCCGCGCTGCCTCTATCAGGGGGTAACCTTAGTCCCCTCCTGGTGGACCCCTCCTCTCTCTGCAGGGATGTTACACACACCGAACACACACACACACACACACACATACGCACACACACATAAGCCAGTCCCTGAGCAGCCACACAGGGCGATGAAATACATGTGCACACACAAAATTCACATAGCCTGCTATTGTTCTCTTTGTACCTACACACATACACACTTACACTTACACACACACACACATCAGAGAGGAGACCATCATGCAGGTCTCGCCCCGCTCTACCTGTGTGGCTTCAGCTTTGTTGTCTTGACGACACCCTGTGTTTGAGATCTCCTCGTCTGATAGAGCTAACATGATCAAAATTCAAGCTGTTGGAGCTGTGTCGCTGACCTACAGACCGAGAAAGAGCAAGGGAATAAAACCTGGACTGAAAGGGTTAAAAGTAAGATGTGGCGTACAGGGAATAAGTTAACACAGAGATGAGAAAATGACAAAAATGGTGGTCAGAAATGAAGAAAGAAACCTCGGCCCTCCACACCTCCTGAAGGCCTGAATAACCAACACATGGACTCTTTATTAGCTCATGGAGTTAACAGGCAGCAGCGGCGCTCTGACATGAGCTCATGTGTTTGGACAGATCTGCTGAAGGTTTAAGACCAGTACCGAGAGCCTTATCTGATCCAGAGATAAAGTCTCTCACTAAGAATGAGAGGAAAACACACACACACACAAAACACAAACATACACACACACACACACTCAGGGGCAGCCATGTGAATGAATGGTGAGAGGAGAGAGAAATGTGACTGATGTGGAAAAGAGAAAGTCCGGTCCTGGATAGACACTGTAAAAGCATGAGTGTGTGTGTGTGTGTGTGTCCTGGGAGACCGCCGGCCTCAGTGTGTGTGTGTAGGGTGTGTGTTGGTGATGATGTCAGTGTGAAATACTAAAGTGTGGACAGATATGAGAACAACAGTCAGCACTGACCTCAGTGAGTGTGTTTAAAATACTGTACATATGTGTGTTTATATGGATGTTATTTTAAGATGTCAGATTTTATGAATGAAAGTGACATCTGTGTGAGAGTGTGTGGTGTGAATGAAGTTACTGCTGTCACTGCTGAATGAAAATCACACTGTTTGAATCTCAAACTCGATATTGAAATCTCTCTGATGTTGATCATTGAGAATAAAACTCTCTGATATATTGATATGTTTTGCCTTTAAGGTTTAACTTTAACACAAACTTTGCTTTCATCACTGCAGTTTTTTCAGAATTCTCATTTTAATATTTCGTTTCAGGCTGCCATGTGATGTATTTTTTTAATGGTGACTGATCTCTGAATTTCTGTAGCTATTTGCAGTTAGCAGTATTTCTAATTGCGTAATGTGACTGTTTTGTTTCTCAGAACAGTTTGAAATCCTTAATAAAAGCAAAAAGCCTCTCACAAGCATAAATGGTTTAACAACTCATTTACATCCAAAGATTCCTGGTGACTACAGCAGTATCTGTACTTTTCAGGAGATTCCACCCTGAAAAAGTCCCACCCTTAAGTCTTACACAATATCAACTTGTCTGCATCTCATTTTTCTACTATTGATATTTTGGGATTAAATTACCTGTTTGAGATTTCATTCTTGTGTGAATTGACTTGAGTTCTTTTATGGCAACAGGCAGTTTTTTTTTTTTTACTTTAACTGGCGCATTTGTTTGGCACTTACATCTAAATATTACACTCAAGGCTGCCAGGATTTATTTTAAATTATAAAAATCACAGATATAGTAACTGTATGCCAACCGTATTAAGTTCTGTGTCCATTTCATGTTAAAAATATTATTATTATTATTATTATTATTATTATTATTATTATTATTATTATTATTATTATTATTATTATTATTATTATTTTTCATTAAGCTTCTACTTAGACTGAATTTTTCATTCTTTCTTAGTGGCTGACCAAAACAGATAAAACTCTTTTATTCTCTTGTGTGGATTATTCCTCTTTGTTTGCTTTGACTGTTTCATACAGGTCAAGTACGTATGACTTTCAAAGTCCCAGACCCAAGTCTCCCACAATGTTTGACTAGCCTGCAGTCAGTCGTCGTCCATTTTTCAAGTATAAACTTTGATTTGTTTTATCCACAGATCCCAAATACTGCCCTCTTTTACGACGTGGATGCCAGCTGACATGAGTGTGATTAGCTATCGCTGTATGCTTCGCTCAATCTTGTGATTTTTTTTGATTTTTTTTTTTCTGTTTGTTAATTTGGACCACTGAGACATCTGGGGATGAATTTTTGGTAAAGTTACCTTGAAAAAAATACTGGTGTTGTTATTTTTTCATTAGCAGCAGGAAAAGCGAGAAGATGCAGCCATGACTGAACTTCAGTGTGCCAAATGTTTTAAATGCTCTGCTGCAAACTTCAAATTAAACAAAAGCCACAGTTTATCTCGTTTCAGAGTGGCTGAGGCCAAGAGTGCAACGAGGAATCTGAATATTATCTGAATTTTTCTTTTAATGAAAACACAGAACTAATCCTTTGTTTTAATTAGGACTGCCAGACAGATAGTTTAATCTGTAGACCCAGGACTTTTTCTTTCTGTTTGTTCCAAAGGTCAGAGCTGTGATGGGAAAATGGCATTTCAGTTTGCTGCTCATGTCAGCATCATCATGCAAGCAGCACCAGCTCCAGCCTACCCCTGCTGCAGGATCTGTTTCTGAGATACTTTTGGCTTTTTGGTGCAAAACACATCTGCTCCATTTGGTGCTAAAGTAATCCTGACACTGTGACTTCTGTCTGCAGGACCAATCAACTGCCTTAATGCTCATTTTTTCAGGAGACATAAAATAATTAAACATTCTACCTGTGACTGGACATGTACACGGTGGCCCAGTTGCTTCTGCATTTCACATCGATTAGATTTGACTTTCGCACATCTGCATGTTGATCCCTTATTCAAGCATTACATCTGCAGACAGCACACATCAGTGCTAGATCTGAGTGGCCTCTGCTTGCCAAAGCTTTGGTGCCCAGCGTGATGTTGCTTCCTGCAGGAAGAGGGAGAGCTGAGGAAAAGCAAAACAGGACATCTTCAGATCTGTCAGGGGAGCAGCCCCTCTCCTCCTCCTCCTCCTTTCTGCCCTGAGGGGAAAATGCACCAGAGGAAGCCCTCTCTCCCTCTCTCTCTCTCCCCCTTTCTCTGCCCCGGTCTTGCTCTGCTCTCCCCGGGATGTACTTGCTTTCTCTGATACTCCTCTTTTCCTCTGAATCAAACAGTGATGGATGTCACCTTGCATGATCCTTTAATGTGACAGACTTCTGTTTTTAAATATAACCGCTCTTTACTGGTCTACTTCTTTTTACTGTAAAGCTGTTATGTTTGCAAAAGTAAATAACAAAGAGTGTCTTGAAAAGCAATAAAATGTACTTCATGATCTTGACATTAAATTTATAATGTTAATGCTGCAGTGCTCATCATGTGGTCTGAAACCATGATTGATACGAAAACCAGCGTGCAAAACATTCCCATCTGTTGTGATGATCAGATCAGGGGATTGACTGATACACATTAAAGACCGCAGGGTGGCACCCGACCAGTCATCAAACGTGAATTTATTGGTTCAGAACAATTACTGCTGTTTCAATAAAGTGCACAAAACTAATGTGTCGCCAGAAAGTTTAGCACTCCTGTGGGGGGTATGGAGGGGTTTTGAGTGCTGTAATTCCCAATTGCATGAACAGCATCTGGGCATCACCTGGAGATTAAGTTGGTTCCTTGGTCAGTGAGGATCTCGACTGGTATCCCCAGCCTGGAGAAGAGCTGTATTAGGGCAGGCATTACAGCAGGCATGGTGATGGTGGGTTAGGGGAAAGCCTCAGGCCCCAAAAGTTCCACCCTCACACAGACTACTTACAAAGTTTGGGAGTGGTTGGACACTTGCTTGAGCTGGGGTCAAGACATGACAAAGAGCATTTACATACAATTCCTTATTCAGACTTACCAGGTATTTCTTTCTCCAACGGCAACAGGTAAGTCCCATCCCAGGATGACATCAACAGGTAGGCTTTCCACCACCTCAACAGTCAACAGGTAAGGTTACAGTCAAACATGCTCCGGTCAGCTGTAGTCCACACAGCCTACAGGAACCACACTGTTTGACCGGCGACATGATGCTGCCACTGTCAAGCAGAGCAGTAACGTCTCATGATGTTCTTGTCATCTGCAGGCTCCACCTCTAACCTGGGACCATAGCAAGCACCTGTGACCTTGACTTTGATTATGGACACACAGAAGCTTTGTGGCCAAGCTGCTGACAGTACAAACACTGGAGCAGTACAAGTTTCTCCTGTCTGCCCCTGGTTGCTCTTTCTCTGCTGGAGTTACTGGGGTGCCAGTCAGTGTGGTGCCATGGTGGTGTGTGGAGCTGGACCCCTTCTCCGTGCATTCAGGTTCTGCAGAGCCAGCTTTGCAGCTGCCAGACCCTCCGCTGGCTCGTGCTCCCTCACCCCAGCAGGGAGCACCCAGAGGAGCTCCAAGGTGATGGTCTTACTGATCTCCTCTTGTTGTGCCGCTCAGGCTGGATCCAGTGTCGGTATAGTTCCTATAGGTCAGCAGGGCTGCTTTCAGGTCCATGTATCAATGGGATCTCTCTATGTCTTCCAACACCTTACCAGTCAACAGTGGAACAAGTCAGCAGGTCCACTCACTCTCAGGCCACTTCCAAGTTTTCCTAGTATGCTCAAACCTTAACAGGTGATTTCCAGTGTCCTCACCCATCTGACACTGTAGAATCTTCAGGCTGCTGCAGTTCCTCTACCCCAACACTATCTCATTCCTTACTCGTAAGATATGGATAGACGGTCAGGAGCCCTTTATGTCAGTAAGCGACGCACACTGGGTACCCCGTGTCTATTTTTGATGTGGAGGGTCAGCTATAGACTTTAATAAGAGTCTTTTTTCATCAGATAGTGAGGCTTTCAGATCGTGCTCAAGTCGTCTCTCCTAGCAGAGGGTCGGCCATCGACTTAAATGACAGTCCTGGCCTAACAAAGTGCCCAAAAGTGCAGTGCTGCCAAAGACTTTTTTAGAGATTTATAAAAAATTAACCAGAGATGAACTTTTTCTCAATTGTGTGATCACTTTTGCCTGCCATTTCCTCCTATTTACTCTGTGGAAATCACACAATCCGTTTCCTCTTTCAAAACATGAGCGTGACACGCCTTCGACAGGTAAGTAGGTGTGTGAATTAAGTTAAAAGATGGAGCTACAAGTGTGCACCCTCGGTTACGCTATACAACAGAGAAGAGGGAAGAAGAAGTAGGGATGTTAATTTGAGACACTGACAGGGAGGGAAATGTTTGGCATGTTTATGAACATGTGTGGGAGAGAGCATGCATTCATTGAGGTGGCCGCTCCACTTTGTATAACAGCCATATTTTAGCAGAATAACGTCACTTAGATTCCCCATGTGTGGACATGTTTATTTGAATCATGCAAACTCACCCAACAGTCAACATGATAGCAGCTGAGATAGCCTCCATGAGGTGTCTTCCACTTTTTTAAACTTTCAACCTCACATGACAATGAAACGTGTCTTTGCTTGAGGAAATGCCCTGTTGGGCTGGTAGCAGCCTGTGAGTTCCGGAAGAGCACTGCTACACCGATGGCCAAAGTCCACCTTAGATATTAAATTTTTAAGATACAGTACAGGCCAAAAGTTTGGACACACCTTCTCATTCAATGTGTTTTCTTTATTTTTTTTTTATGACTATTTACATTGTAGATTATCCCTGAAGGCATCAAAACTATGAATGAACACATGTAGAATTTTGTACTTATAAAAAAAGTGTGAAATAACTGAAAACATGTTTTATATTCTACTTTCTTTAAAATAGCCACCCTTTGCTCTTGATGACAGAAGTATAAAGTAACCCTGACAAGGCACACCTGTGAAGTAAAAACCATTTCAGGTGACTACCTCATGAAGCTCATTGAGAGAACAGCAAAAGTTTGCAGTGCTATCAAAAAAGCAAAGAGTGGCTACTTTGAGAAATCTAAAATATAAAACATGTTTTCAGTTATTTCACACTTTTTTCTTAAGCACATGATTCCACATGTGTTCATTCATAGTTTTGATGCCCTCAGTGAGAATCTACAATTTAAATAGTAATGAGAATAAAGAAAATGCATTGAATGAGAAGGTGTGTCCAAACTTTTGGCCTGTACTGTATACTCAAGGCTGAATACAGACTGAAACCGTAAAGATTGGAAGAGTTTCCAGATGCATTAAATACCTCCAAGATTGAAATAAATGGATTTGCAGTTGACTTAGCCTCCTGTTCACCAGGCTAGTTCAGACTCCTGCATCTAGATGAACCTTGAGCACATAGAGCTCACGCACTTTACTTTTTGACACCTGCTTGCACGTTATATTCTTGAGTTGAAACCAAAATGCAAAACTTGTGTCTTTGAACGGGTCTCCAAATGATCATTCTGGAAAAAAAAGGCTTTAAAATCAATGAGTCAAGTAAATCATGTTATACACAGTAAAAACTACAACCTTACAAAATTAACAGTCTCCAGGGAGCCCTGGGCTTGGATTGATCAATTCTCTTATTACTCACATTTGCATGTTCCAGCAGTAATTGGATGTTTTTGAACGGTCTGAGTGGAGCTGGAGGCGGCCCGGCTTAGCTCCAGTTGGAGACAGTAACTGTAAACCTTCCTCTCATCCTCTGCTGCCGCTAACTCACTCTTAAACCATTGTCAAGATCGCCACAGCCACTGTGTGAGCTGTTTGTGTGATTCTGTCTCTTCGTGCGTGTGGGTTTCATTGCCTGGTTTTCCTGTTTGTTATTGCGGTCATGATGGAGGCAGGAGAACTGGAGCTGACAGAGGTTTGTGTGGCGTGCCATGTGTAAGCGAATCCTGCAGAGAATGACACTCTGCTGGCCCGGCTCACGGTGTTTTGGTGGTTGCGTGTGGTTTCGAGAGCTCATCCTCAAAATATATTCCTGGATCTGTTTGAAGTCCGTGGCGGTGGCCTTGGACACCATCTCTAAATATTGGCAACATCATGTGCCGAGTAAAAATGATGGACGAAATGAGAGTCCAGAAAGTCCCTTTTAGAAACCTGACCATCTAATCACTTGGTTTGCTTGTAGAGATAAATTACAGTTGGGAAAAAAAAAAAAAAAAGATGTTTTTTTTTCTCTTGGTCAGAATAATCTTCTTACTCATATATAAACATATAAAATCTTAAACCCTGTGTATTATAGTGTCTGTTATTGTCACTCTTGAGCATGTGTTTTATTTTCTCCAGTCTGCATAATAAAATGGTTAAAATCTTTTTGCATAAACACAAAACTAATCCAAGATGGAAATTTTGAGCCATTACTCTTCAAAAACCTAGTTTAACAAAAACAGCTAATTTTGCTTATTGGATGATTTCTCGACACTTTCGAGGCATTGCTGATCATGTTTAATACTGACATCCACTGTATCCAGCACACAGCAATAACAAGTGAAAATATGGGCATCTGCAGCTCCGACAAAAAGTGAAAAATATTCATTTGAATTGGGCACTTAATGTTAAAGCTTCTATGAGGAGTTTTATAATGTAGCCTGCAATCCTTACTGATGCCTTTTTGAATGATTTGGAAAAGCAAAAAGTGCTATTTTTAACACCTGAGACCAGCATAAGGGAGTATTATTGCAACACATGAGACAGCTGACCGTCAAAAGTCAGCAGGATGAGATTTTTGTGAAGAGACACTGTTTAAGCATGTAGAGGACGAGATAAGCAAAAGTGGTAAAGTTGACACAAACAGAGAGTGTTTCACAGGAGCTTTAATTTATAAAATACACCATTAACTATACCACACAGTTTATTTTAGTTATGATGGCCCATGCTCTGTCTTTGTAAAACTCTTCACACTGAACTTGATTGTGGTGCTAGAGTTAGGTACAAAAACATTCACACTGATTAAATAAAGCGTACTTAAGGGTGGTGTCTTTGACAACCCGGACTTCAGCTTCAACAACCGTCTTTTGGAGGCATATTAAAGCATTTTTGAACCCCCGTCCACTATTGCCATACCCTCGATTCATCATCATTGATTTGGCATCAAATCAAATTCAAATCAAATTTTATTTATATAGCACCAATTTACAATAGTGGTCATACCAAGATGCTTTCCAAAGAAAAAGAGCAGGTCTAGACCACACTCGTTGTTTGATGAATTATCAAGACCCAACCTAAGATTGGATTTGGCCCATCTCATCTAACATGAGTAACAGTGGCAAGGAAAAACTTCCTTTTAACAGGCAGAAACCTTGGGTAGGACTAGACTCATGCTTATCTTTTTTTAAATAGACATGTGCATCTCTATTTAAAAAGATAAATTATGACATAGAGCTGCATTTTTTTCCAGGGAAGTTTGAACACACTTGTGAGTCAGTCTTTAAAAGTGTCAGCCATTGTTGCCCATGCTGCTGTGTTACTGCTACTGTTTATGTGCAAACTGTAACCAGCGCCCAGTGACCAGCACAGCCAATGCACCCAACCATCGCTTGGGACCATCACGCATTTGCATAAAAGTGATAACGGCAAGTTTATCTCCAGCCTCATATATCATTTGTTTGTCTTTACTCTACACAGGAAAATAGCAACACTCTCGGTCCTGGAGAGTAAGAGACACACATTGACCCTTCTGATCTTCTGCCATTAAAGAAATAATTTTAAAAAACAGCATGCTAGCTAAAGCTAATGGATTATTTTGCCTCCAGCTAAACCCCAACTCCCCAAAAAATGTCATACAGTTTACTTATAAAAAGGGGGCTCCGACTTTTGCAAGTGTCTTTATTCGTAGTAGTACCACCTAAACCTACCCATATTAACTCCAGTTTTAGCAAAGACCGGTCTACATAAGTTTAAAGATAAAATTTCCTACCTAGATCTTCTTTTATTACTACCATTACTTTTAGAGGCTTAACAGCGCCTTGAATTGCAACCCAGGGTTACGTTTCCAGTCGCTGTGATGCATGGCAGCCATTTCTTACAGCAGCTTCTGTCCCACCAATCAGCTAGATTGTCATTAGCAAAGTAGCATAGCATGGACCTAAAGCTAAACCTAAGCTCCGGGAATTATCAAGAGATGAGGAGATAAATGAGCAACACAGGAGCAACATAGAAAGTTGATGAGAGAGCGAGAAAACAGGCGGAGAGAGCAGAGCAGACAGCTGGTGCTCAGAGGAGACTGTCTGGCTTCCCGTCGCTCTCTTTCCATGCAGCAGTGAGATAAAATCTCTCTTACCTTATTCACTGCAGCCCACATACACTCTACTCCACTGTACACAGGTAGGCTGGCATGTCAAGAATAACCTTGCCCGGTTGGCCTGACAACAGAGAGGTTCAAAGAGAGGCTGCAGGGGGTGTATGAAGAGAGAGTTAGATATGTCTACGCAGTATTTGTCAGTAAAAAACTTAACCTTAAAAGTTAGTTAAAGCCCTAGTGAGTAACTTTTGGTTTGTTCGGGTTTTAGCAACCACATTTATTGGGAAGTACTTTCTCTCCTGTACTGTTAAGATTTTCATCCAGCTGCAGGGTATCTATCAAATGTTTTACTCACTGTGATTTTTGGCTGCGTAAAATGTAGTAGGACAGGAACAGAGCGAATTTACTTGAGTACGATGCATCTTTTGAGTATCGATCAATCTTTATTCACCATAGTGCCTTATTCTAAATTTATTTTCACCCCAAGTGGAAGGAGGGTTATTTTGTTTGCTCAGATACAAGGTCTGTCTTTGTATCTGACTTATCTGTGATGCAAGTGTAGCCTTGCTGAAGAATGGTGTCTAGACTTAAGATGCTGATTTCTCTACTGAACGACTTTAAAACCCCAGAAATTGAGGGAATTGTAGGGTTATGAAGCCACACAGCAGTCAGTTTTCCCCAGGTCTGACACCATGGATGCAAAGATATAATTTTATCACATCAGTCACGCTCTGGAAGAGTTTCTAGATCTGCTTTACTTCTTGTTTGATTGTGTTTAGATTAAATAATGTGGCAAGCTATCAGTAATAGTGACACTTCCTGTGCAGACTAGCAGCTAATAAATATAAGTACAAATTTGATGATGACTAATTTTATGTTGTGAAACTGAATATTTTCTTTATTATCATTGTCATCTGTCAAAGCAAACCGTATGCTCTTGCAAAGCTGCAGGCTGCGGTAACCAGCTAGCTCTGCTTTTTATAATGCTGCAAGTCTCATTCAAGAGCATTATCAGGTACCCCTTCGAACCCTGCTCAAAAACCCTTGATATTAAGATGAAAACTAGCTTAGCTAAATAACTTCAAAATTTTCAAGCCAACATTTAACACCAGGGCTAGGTCCAGATAGGATGTCTCCTCCACACTACTCAGTCATGCTCGCTTCAATCTTACTCATTCCCTCCTAAGACAATTTATAGCATTCATAATAACAATATATGAACATATTGTGTTACTGTGGATGGTCTCCTTTGCTTTTTTTAGGTCATACAGGAGCCTAACCTGGGATTTTCACCGCATCCAGAATGGCCCTGATCCGGCTTGCCGTATGTCAATTCCTACTGGATCCGTTTATGAAGCAAATTTCATGGCGGATTACGGACAGCAGGAATCGTGAGAACTCATAAGAACCCGCGGATTCATGTGTCCATCCAGAGGAGAAAATTTACTTCTAGACTTAAAAAAATCAGCCATGGTGTCTCATCCATGGTGTCATCAGGGTGAAATGCTGTCTATAAACCTTTCACTTGTTCATCTCCGCCTGAAACTTGGAGTGTTTTATTTTGGAAGGAAGCGGGATGTTTTATTTTGTGTCTGTGCCTAACTTCTTTGCAAGCACGGGTTAATCTGTGCTGAATTTATCCGGCATGCACCGGCGTCCAGAAAAAAATAGAACTCTTGCGATCAGCTGCAGAGTCCTGCAATCTGCAGCGAAACAGAACGAAGCCACTGAAAATTGACACATTAACATGAATGGTTACGATCAGCAGATATGGCCTTTTCATAACCGTTCCGGATGTGGTGGAAATTGCCGGTTTGTGTTACTGAGTGAAGAACTCCCCACAGGAGCTTTAAGAGTCTGAGTGTCTCCTCTGGTTGAAAATGTATTTCAGCCACCTCTGACTTTTACAACAAGGTTGTCATAGAAAAGAGCCACACTGACAGGTAAGACATCCACCGTATCTGATATCATTCCTCACCAGGCTCACACGCAGACCACCGGAGCAGAGGAGGACTACCCCTAGCACAGTGTTGGCTGCACATCTCTGCTGTTCTGCACCATTAACACACACTATTCTCACACGCAGCTCAACTGTAAAGGTCACTCTGCTCACCTCTGATTCCTCCCCTCCATCTTTCAGCAGCAGAATCCCCTGCCGAAATAAAGGAAGAGTGTGAAGACATAAACGCATTCATACAGCAAGTAGGAGGGGGTGAGTGTTTAACAAGCTGGCGTGTGAATGTGTGTTCCTGTTCCCTGTCAGTCCACGCTTTGATCTGTCTGCAGGGTGTCAGCTGGCAGCCATGTTTGTTTGCCCAGCGAGGTAAGCTACCTGTATAATTACCTCTAACGAAGTGACTTGTTTTGATTTGGCCTGAAATGTGATCCTTGGTGGGGATGAAGATGTGGAAATGGGTTTGGGGT